CCAGCCGGGGGCGGGGGCAGTAAGGGTTGACCAGGCTGGCGGGGGGAGAGGGGGGAGGTCAGTAGGACCAACCAGGCCAGCAGGGAGGCGGCAGTTGGGGGCGATCAGGCCGGCACTCAGAGGTAGTGAGGGGCAATTCAGGCTGGCAGGTGGGCCACTAGGGGCGATCAAGCAGGCAGGCAGGTGGGCAGTTAGGAGCCAGCGGTCCTGGATTGTGAGAGGGATGTCCTCAGGATCAGGCCTAAACCAGCAGTTGGACATCCCCCGAGGGGTCCCGGATTGGAGAGGGTGCAGGCTAAGCTGAGGGCACCCCCCCACCCCCCCACACACACACCCAATTTCGTGTACTGGGCCTATAGTTCTATATAATAAGAGGAACATGCTAATTAGCCATTATGCCCTGAGGCGTAATGATCAAGTGCATCAAGATCCCATCACGGATCAGCAGGAGGGTGGGCCAGTGAGGTACAAGGGGACTGCGAAGAACTACAGGAGGAGGCAGGGCAGCAAGCTATAGGGGGAAGGGGGGTGGGGGGAGCTACAGGAGGGCAGCAGTGACCTAGTGGCACACGGATTCGTGCACAGGGCTACTGGTTGAGAAACTTTCCCTTCTTGCATGTAGAAGCTCTAGCACCTGTACTAATAATTGTAATGAGCACTATTACGCAAATACTGTGCTAATTACATAATGTTACCTCATTTGATCCTTATAACAATTTGTGAAGTGGTATGATCATCTCTATTTGACAGAGAAATAAATAGCTCCAAGATGTTAGCAAACCTGAAATAGGTTTTAAATTTTAAGCTGGGTTTGATTCCATCACCACTTCAGGTATGTCTCATTCCATAGTCTACATTCTTAACTACTGGAAGAATTAAGAATCTCTAGCCCATGAACTAACTGCTCTCATCTAGATAACTCTAGGTGAGAATTTTCTCTACTCTGTTCTCAGAAGGAGTCAAAATAGGGATGAATAATATTTTTTTTAAATTAACATCACAGAATAGTTATTTTGCCCTTAATTGGTCATAAAGAAATTACTTAGTTTATATAGGTTACCTGAAAACATTTTTGTAGTTTTATTTTTAAGATAAAAGTTATAAATACCTATAAGATGAACAGGATACCTGAAACATACCTTCCAAGATGAAGGGAAATTTCTTGCTCATTGTTTGCCTAAAATCTGATGGGAAAAAAAAAATCTTAAAATTAGACATGATTAGAGATTCATTATATTAAAATATGCAGCCATATTTTAACCTTAAGGCATATAAAGTAGGGATACCACAGATTAGAAATTTTTGTTAAGGTCCTGGTTATCCAGAAACTATATCCGTTTGGGTCTAAACTGCACTTGCATATATATAGCCTTCCATAGTTATTTCAGAGTTTTAACATTTTTGACCTATATATATGATGTAATTTACTTAGAAGTGATATTTAAAAGCAAATTTTCAATATTAATGTATAATTCTGTTATGTAACTTTATAAATTATTTTTATGGATGCAATTTTACCTTGTTTTGGAATTAGAAATAAGACTACAATACCCATTTTTTAAAGTTGATCTTAAACTTTAATTTGCTTTTAAATACTATTTGGATGGTTTTTTATATACCCTTACTTATAGTTTAAAAGCATAGAGACTGCCCTAACCAGTTTTGCTCAGGTTTGGGCATCGGCCCAGAGACTGCAGAGTCTTGGGTTTGATTCTGGTCAAGGGCATGTACCTTGGCTGTAGGCTCAATCCCTGGGCCCCAATAAGGGCCAGTGTGGAAGGCAACCAATCAATGTGTGTCTCTCACATCGATATTTCTCTCTCTGTCTCTCTCCTTTCCACTCTCTAAAAATTAATGGAAAAAATATCCTCGAGTGAGGATTAACAACAATAGCATAGAGAATGAATATCCAGTAGCATCGTGGAACTGTTCTGGTGAAGTACTTTTTAAGAAAACAAATGACAGGTTTCAAAGATGGCCACCACTGGGGATTGCTATTCCCTGCTTTAGTAAAAGAGAAAGCAGCACTTCCTAATTTGAAAGTTTGTGATCCTGGCTGATGTGGCTCAGTGGTTGAGTGTCGACCCATGAACCAGGAGGTCACGGTTTGAAAAAATAAAAACATACATGGGGGGAAAAAAAGTTTGTTAGCTCTCAGATAAAATTTCACCTCACAATAGGTCTAAGCACTTTCAGTAATAGCCAGGGCATGGGAAAGGGTTTCAGTGCCTAGTATGGATGAACTCTGCAAGCCTAAGAAACTGGTTACTTTGACAATTTGGCTATGCTACTCTCAGTCTACCAAATAGTGAGGTGCATTTGCTACATCTGTGCTCCCAAACTAAGCCAGACTAAGGATACTAGCTCTATTACCCACCCCTGCACTAGGAAAACCCAGGGAAGTGTGAAACATATCCCCTAGTCTGCAAACAATTTTTTAAATATATTTTTATTGATTTTAGAAAGGGAAAGGGAGAGAAACATCAATGCCTCCTACACACCCCCTACTGGGGATTGAGCCTGCAACCCAGGCATGTGTCCATGACCAAAATCAAACCTGGGACCCTTCAGTCCATAGACCAGGGGTGGGCAAACTTTTTGACTCGAGGGCCACAATGGGTTCTTAAACTGGACCGGAGGGCCGGAACAAAAGCATGGATGGAGTGTTTGTGTGAACTAATATAAACTCAAAGTAAACATCATTACATAAAAGGGTATGGTCTTTTTTTTTTTTTTTTTAGTTTTTTTTATTTCAAACGGGCCGGATCCGGCCTGCAAGCCGTAGTTTGCCCACGGCTGCCACACTCTATCCACTGAACCAAACCGGCTAGGCTGCAAACAATTTTTTAGGAGGAACCTAAGAATCATAATAATTAACACCTAGTTTCCCTTTGTGCCATCGTAAAAATGCCTAATAACGCTGAATCTAAAGCAGTTTTCTAACAATGCCATTTAGCACCTAAAATGCATGAGCAAACTGTATAATCCTCTATAAAATATTCACTTCTGAATTATCATTACCTTGGCTTGTGTCCATCTTATTAAACAAAACATACGCTCCAGCAACACCCAGAAATTCAGCTACTAAAACTCCTTTAAAGATCTTCTTTGCCAGTGGTTCCAAAGTGCGGGCCATCCTAAGTTTAACAACAAATATATGTGAACTAAATGAGCATATTAAGCCGAAACCGGTTTGGCTCAGTGGATAGAGCGTCGGCCTGCGGACTGAAAGGTCCCGGGTTCGATTCCGGTCAGGGGCATGTACCTGGGTTGTGGACATATCCCCAGAAGGGGATGTGCAGGAGGCGGCTGATCGATGTTTCTCTCATCGATGTTTCTAACTTTCTATCTCTCTCTCCCTTGCTCTCTGTAAAAATCAATAAAATATATTTAAAAAAAAAATAAATGAGCATATTAAAACTTAATGCCACTTCTATAAAAATAACTCCATTCCCACAGTGTGATTATCTCAGTATGTTGGTACTGTCCTGAGCATGCTTTGTCACATTGTTCTGCCCCTTGTGCAGGTGGTATGTTCTCTAATACTCCGCAGTCCCAGCTCAGCTCACTGTCACGCCTTTACTCCATTCACTCCTGATTCCTTTTCACAAACCTGAGGGTGGGGAGGTCATTAAATACCCTACCTTTGTAGTATCCTACTAAAATCATTATCAGGTGTCCCCCCTCCCCCATATTTCCTTCTCTCATTTTGATAATATGATCCCTGGGGACTAGATGATTAAAACTTTACTATTCTTACCCAAAAGAAGCAGGGGGAGTGAAAGAAAAGGAAAAAAAAAGAACTTATAACCATCAGGCAGGTGAGTGGGTGAAGAGAGTTGTTTTGCTCTTCACTACAATGCTGTATACATTACTGAGAGGAAATAAGCCCTCATCAGTACAGGGAGCTCTCGGGGTTATTTTTAATGTTCAAGGGGTGAAAAGAACAAAAGAGCCTGCCTGTAGCCAGGCTTACAGTATAAGGAATCCCAGTAAAATGCCATTTCGTTTTGTTGAAGAGAGTGAGGTTAAGGGTTCAAACAACAAAGTCCAAATAACACTGTATAATAAATCATTCACCTTTCTTGAAAAAAAAAATATATATATATAAACACACACAAAAAAACACACGTTTTTCA